GCAATAGCAGCTCCCAGTTGGAGACCTGTGAGCAGCTCAGCAGTGGGAGTGGCAGCCACACACCCAGCCTGCACTGGGGCTGCTCACCCAAGCCTGCAACCCATTATCTCAGTCTGCCCCAAACATCTGCGGGGCAAACATGATGACAGAAGATGAGGGCATCTTGCCGTTCCTGAGCCCCCAGACCTCCAGGAGAGCTGGGCATCGGGCTCTATCCTAGGCTGCCGGGACACCAACCATGGAAAATCACATTCTCTAGTGCATCATGGGAATGCATTGCACAATGAGCCAAGTTGCAAATGTCATGGCTCACCCATTGGGGAGGGTGGGTGGGTGATGATTTAGATTAAAAGATTAAATTGAAACACTAATAGTCTGTTAAAATAATTTCTCAGCAATAACATGGTTTTTGTGGGTGCTTTACTTTGCCTTAGTTACTGGTATAGACTTGCACATATCCTATTTGAAGATGAAATCCTTTCAGGCTTGGAGGTTCTTTCTGCAGAATAAGGAGAGCAGGCACCTAGCACATGTCAGGCATGTTGAAGCAAACACACATGCACCTTATGCAAAACCTGAGTTCAAGGTAATGCTCATAGCCCTTGCCTCACAACATCTGAGGCTATGGTTTTAGGTGTTCTTATGGACCATTCCACAAGCCTTGAAATCTGAATGTCGAAACGTCTCCTTTGCAACAGCCATTATCTGTGTGGGAAGCTGCTGGCTGGCTTCTTCTTTGCAGGCAGGGAATCCACCCTCAATCTGCTGGGAGGGACTGGAGTCACTATGCACAACTGCAGGACTCTTGAGGGGAAAAAGTGAGGCCACACCAGACCCAGGGCAGTGCTCCAGGGAGGGAGACATGCTGAGCTGCAAGAAGTGCTAAACTCAGGCTGAAGGCGGCAGTGGTGGTGGCGTGGGGTGGTAGTGGGTGGCCGAGCAGAGTCTGCCGTGACCATGGCTAGAGGCAAAGCCGGGAAGGACAGCGGGAAGGCCAAGGCTAAGGCAGTGTCTCGCTGACAGAGAGCTGGTCTACAGTTTCCTGTGGACCGCATCCACAGACACTTGAAGACTCGAACCACAAACCATGGACGGGTGGGTGCCACTGCTGCCGTGTACAGTGCTGCAATTCTGGAGTACATTACTGCTGAGGTCCTGGAACTGGCAGGAAATGCTTCCAAGGATCTCAAAGTAAAGCGTATCACTCCCAGTCACTTGTGGTGACGAAGAGCTGGATTCTCTTATCAAGGCTACCATAGCTGGGGGTGTGATCCCTCACATCCACAAATCTCTAATTGGAAAGAAGGGACAGCAGAAAACTGCTTAGAGGGTTGTATAACCCTTTTCCTTCCCATCACTGTACTGTAACTGGGACAGACGAAAACAATGGAAATGTATGGAATTTTTTAAAATAGTTAAATAGAAAAGCATAGAAAATTACTGAAGGCATGACAGAAAAAACATTTGTACATTTTTAGACTCAACGTTTGATAAAAGAACCTTTTCACATCATGATAGTTGTGTAGATTGGCCAGCTTTCTTCTATGTGTTTTATACCAAAATGGAATTGATAAACGATTTTCTACAAAACTAATTTGTCTCCAAACTGTTCTGTTCATGATATATTAGAAATATTTTGCTCAGACTTGAAATATTTTGTCTCAAGTTAGATCCTCAAAATAATCCTGAAACTGAAATGAGGAAACTAGCTTTATTCAGCATGACTGATATCATGTGAATGTTCAGTTTTTGATGCTATTACTTTGTAGTTACTTAATTGCATATCTCTAATAACTGAACTAATGCCATCAATTAGGAGTTATCTCTCCATTTAGATTATGGGAAAATGTGCATTTAATACTGAACTGGGGAAATGGAATTACTGGAATCATTTACTGAGCACTTAGCATGTGCCAAACCCTGAGCTAAGTACTTTGCTGATCAAAAAATATTATTAATTACCTTGCTTTATGGACCTGGACCCCAGGCTCATGGAAATTAAATGATCTGCCAAAACCCGGGGAGCCTAGGGGATGGGAAACAGCAGAACTAGGACAGATGCTTACATTGACCTCCAAAGTCTACAAACTTCTCTGCTTTGAGCTTCCCATGGTCATCTTGTATTGATACAATATGTCTTTCATTTATTATCTTTTAAAAAATGGAATATTTCCTTGTCAATTTCTAAGTAACTTGATTGAAGTTAATGTAATACTTAGTGGTCCATCAGAAAATGCTATTTTTCTTTCTGGAAATTGATATTTTGTATTATAGCAATATCAAACTAATTCATTTTCTAAAAAATATTTTATTACAGAAATATTCACATGTACACAAAAATAAAGAGTATAGTACTATGTGAAGCCACATGTACCCATCAAAAAAAAAGAGCTAAACTCAGTCACACCAAAATCCCTAAAGCCCTAAGCATACTGATAAAGAAAAACACAGGGAAACATGCAAATGAGCAGATATAGAGCCCAGATAGTACATCAGTCAAATGCCAGAGCCACTCACAGATTCATAAGGGAATATAAATCCTCTTCATTCATTTCATTGAGTTCAAATAATTCCTCAATAGTTTTCCTCCTTGGTATTTATGACACTTATGGGAAGATTTATTATCTTTGCTCCATTACACAGTTGAAGAAAGCAGCCAATGCAAGAGAACTTCCCATTCCATTTGCTTCATGATACCAGTGTTCCAGTGGACAAAATGTCTAGCAGGCCAAGCAGACACACATGACCAGGAAGAAAAGTAGATGCTGTATTGCTAGAATGCTCTACAGAGTAGTAGCAAAGGAGCCCCAATAAGAGATCAATGGAAGATAATGCACTCTACTTGGACATTACATAATCTGGGAAGGAAATACTGTTTCAATATTCAACTGTAAATATTCAACTGCCAGGTGCTTGTGACTCACATCTGCAATTTTATCAACTCTGGAGGCTGAGATCTGGGAATCCTGATTCATCCCATCAAAAAGCCAGAAGGCTGGGCACAGGTGGCTTATGCCTGTAGTCTTAGGTACTCCAGAGGCTGAGATCTGAGGCTTACAGTCTAAAGCCAGCCTGAGCAGGGGCATCCATAAGATTCTCATCTCCAATTAATCACAGAATAAGTCAGAAGTGGTGCTGTGGCTTAAGTATTTGGGTGCTAACTTTGAGCAAAAACTTGCTCGGGGACAGCACCCAAGCCCAGAGTTCAAGGCCAGAGTTCAAGCCCCAGGACCAGCAAAACAAAAACAAAAAAAAACAGAACAAAGGACAACAGCAGCCACAAAACCGAAATGGAGCTATGGCTCACATTGGGGAGTAGGAGCCTTGAGCAGAAAATCCAACTGATAACATGAAGTCTTCAGTTCAAACCCAGTACCACTCCCTACCCCAACCCCCAAAACATACACATATTTATGTATCAAAAGATTGATGAAAACCCTTTTGTTATCTCAATTGTGAAGAGCAGTAAGCCAAACAGGTCCTAGCAGGATGTAAATATTTCATAAATCCGGATAAGAAAGAATTTCTTAAGCCTCTGTCATCTTTTGTGTTCAAGCTTTCATGGAAGCCAAATGTCAGAACTATTTTTCCCAGGCTTCCCATACACAGCAGTTCTAATCTCCTCTTCCTGAGAACTGTGGGTGACAGGCTCATATTAACACACCCAGCCTCTCTCATTCTTCTTCCCAAGAAGACAGGGCAGAAAAGAAATCATTGGATAATGTGATGCCTGGAACCCCACTGGAGACAGCACTTTTGTTATGATTGTCTCCAGGTACAAATTGTCCAGAGGAGCCAAAATTACTTCATGGAAATTACAGCAAGCCAAAAGGGGGAAAGAAGTCAAATCACAAAGAAAACAATGTCTGAACAATCTTTCATCCTGAATATATGGCTGTGTCACCTCAGCATTGCAGTGATAGGTTTGTTAAAGTCCCAGTAGCTCCGATATATTGAGCCACCAATAACCTTTCCTAAGCTTCTGAAATTGAGGCCAACGTTTTCCCATCCCAGCCTCAGAGCCCAGGTACAAGTCTCCATGTATTTCTTGGGTATCACTCCATGCCGAAGAACTGTCTGACATTGCCCTCAATTCCTTTCTCTCATGCAATATATTCTTAGAGAATGCATTTTCTTAATATATAATGTGAAAGCATTTTAAATTCTTTCCATTCAATATGTCAATCTGTGAGTACAATGCATCTTGATCAGTCATCCCTTCTCTCATTCTCGTCAACATCTCTGCCAACCACTCATTCCCTCAAGCTACCTGGCTGTACTCTCACATCCATCCATGGAATATGATGACTATTTTCCAATCCTTCACCTGTTTCTCCATTCATGTACCTGCCTTCGCCTCTTCACACCTCCCCCTTAGATAAAACATGTTTCAGTTTCCTGGTTTTCATTTGGTTAAACTCTAAGGTGTTTGTTCAAATGAATTATACTATTGAAATTCTTCCTTATGTACACTATGCAACAGTACACTTGTGTATCTATGTATACAGCCTACATATATTTTCATATATGTTTATAATTTAGATCTTACTACCACATATGAGAAACAAAATGCACCCTTTGTCACTTTGAGCATTGCTGACTGAAGGTAAAAATTTCCAGGCTCATCTATTTCCTGGCAAATGATGTAACATCATTCCTCCTGATGGGTGAAAAATATTCCATTGTGGGGTCTGATTTTTAACTAATATCTAAACTTAAGGGTTTTGTAATAGTCATTTTATACATACTTCCATTCCAGGCTTCAAGATCTAACCTATACTACACTTCTCCCTATTCCGTGCTTCCAATTATTTTGTATTTTCATTACATCTTGCTCTATGCATTTATGTATACCACTCAAAAGTCATTTTTAGAAGAAAGGTAAAAAAATATATATGCAGATCTGTTTCAGTTAGTTTTTATTATTTTGCATAGGCATATTTTTTTCCTCTTGAGATGATGAGTTTTTCTCTGCAGATTGTATTCTTATTCCTTCCTCCAGAAGCCATGCTACACAGTTTTGTTGACTTTATCTCATGCACTATCAAGTCCTAGGAAATGAAAGAATACACTTAATGCCCTAAGTAGATGTTAAAGCAGTTAGGAGTTTCTATGTCAGTCTTCAACGCCAATCCCTGACATGGCGTGTAGTCATGGGGCTTGGGAGCTGGGCCCTTTTTCCAGCTGCACACAACTGAGTTCAGCAAGTAAGCCATCAGCAAGTTTTGCACAGCACCAATGCATGAGCAAACTTCTTCAGTGGCCTTAACAAGAGGAACTTTGAGAACTTACACCTTGTTACCCTCCCTGTTCAAGAACTTAGAATTTCTGGTCGAAACAAAGGTTATGAAGAGAATTGGGAGGAACTGAGAACTACAAGAGGACTGACACATGGAAAGGCTAGAGAGGGAAGGAGGGCCATGGCAGGGGGAAATGCCTCCAGCTCAAGGAGCCAGCAGGCCTCTGGGATTCAGATGCCCAACAAAGGGTTTGGTGCTGCACTGTGTTTGAAGGAAAAATATTGTCTATTTGTTATCTATCCTTTAAAAAAAAAACCTTACTGAAGAGTTACCTTGAAGAGTTTTGTTACATGCATTTCCCTTTAAAATATAGTAAGAAATATTTTACTATAGTTTGAGATGAAGTGGTTTGAGAGCTGTGTTGAAAGAATTGTTCTTGAAAGATCTTAATTCCTTATCTTACATTTTTATATTTTACGTATGTTTATACTATTTATAGTAAAGTTTTTATGTATTTAAAAAGCATATAAATTATAATCCATAGTATAATCTGTAATTAAAATATACATTTTATACTACATATGTTTAGTAGAAAAACTATAATATAGAGTATAAATTCTACAGTATATATCATGACATACTAAACATCATGTTGATAATTATATATTAATATTTATATAATAGTAATATATATTTACTTTATAGATAATATAAATATATTTACACATATAAAATATATGAATATGGTAAATGGAAATATCCAATAAATGCATATTATATTATACTTATGTTTTCTACAATAGACTTGTGTAGTATACAAAATATATGTTATATATGTGTTTTATATATATATGTTATATATATACCTTGTTTTGTGTGTGTATATATATATATGTGTGTGTGTTATGTACATATATTTTATTTTTTATTGCTTCATTTTCTTTAATCTGCTGATGGATGCTAGGTTAGTTTCTAATTTTTTGGCTCTTGTGAATAACTTCTCTATGAATATTCATGCATTAACAAATGTTTGAGTCCTGTTCTCAGTTTCCTTGGATACATATCTGAGAGTTGCTCCGTCAAATGGTAGTTATGTAATTGAACTTTTGTGAACTGTTAACCTATTTTCCATGTCCATGTACCATCTTACATTTCTCCCAGTCATATTTCAAGGACTGACACATCCTTAGCAACAGTGTTATTTACTTCCTTTTAAAAATTAAAGCTAGCCGGGCATCAGTGGCTTACGCCTGTAATCTTAGCTACTCAGGAGGCTGAGATCTGAGGATCAAAGTTCAAAGCCAGCTGGGGAAGGAAAGTGTGAGATTCTTATCTCCAATAAACCAGAAAACCAGAAGTGGTGCTATGGCTGAAGTGGTGGAGCGCTAACCTTGAGCTGATAAGCTGAGGGACAGCACCCAGGCTCAAAGTTCAAGCCCCAAGATGGACTAATTAATTAATTAGAGCCATGCTAATTGTTGTAGACCATTAACTCCTACCTCTTTTGATTTCCATTTGTGGTGATTAATGGTGCTGGGGATCTTTTCCTGAGATGTCTTGATATCTGTGTGTCTTTCTCTGGGAAATGTCATTCCTGTCTTTCTACCAATATATTTTCATATATTTTAGTGTCCTTGGTTAAATTTAAATTTATTCATATATATTTTGTTCTTTTGGGGGGGTATGGTAAATAATTCCCCACAATTCCTTCTTTTCATTGATGCTCTATAGAATCATTAAATGACTTCTGTTTGTTGATTTTGTATTTTGTACATGCCAAATTATCTTATGAGATGTGTGTGTGTGTGTGTGTGTGTGTGTGTGTGTGTGTGTGTGTTTTGGATTTTCTAAATATATGATTTGCTATAGAGTTTATTTCTTTCCCATTTAGATGTTCTTTCCTTCTTTCTCCTTTTCTCTTCCTCCTTCTCCTTCTTTTCTTCTTCTCATTCTCCTTCTGTTCACTCAATTTGCCCTATTAAAATTTCTCATAGTATGTTAAATAAAGATCAAAATGGTAGAATACTATATTGTTCCTGATGGGAAAAGCTCTCAGACTTTCACATTTGCAAATTATGTTAGCTACCAAAAATGGTATCTTAAGAGCAGTGCTTTTGAACCCAGAAGCAGCCTTGCTCACAGTGCTGGCCTCATCTCTGCAGCCTGAATACATCTGCCCCAGCCTGGCTATGTACAAGCAGAATGTTCAGGTCACTGGTATTACAAGTATTGGCTTCCTGGTGGCCACCGGGCTGCTATGGAATGTGGGAAAGTTTCTGATCTTTCTTGAGCAAGGTTTCCAAGGCCCAGTGCTTGCAACAAGGAAAAGAAGTAAATAACTAAAGAGCTATCCATTTCATATTACCTACTGTAGTTACTCTATGCAATCTCAGGACTATCCATTGCAAACAATTTATCTATGCACGCTGTTGCATCGAAGTCATTTGAGGATCCATGGACAGCATTCTTCAAAATACTGATTCCATATCTAGCTCGGAGGGAGTCTGGGGACAGCAGCTTTGCTTCTTCTGGATCTACTGGACCCATCATTAGTCTCCACTCTAAAACAGCATTCCACTTGGTCAGAACCATAATCAACGAAGGGCCCCTGAAAGTGACAATGAGTGGTTGTCATTAAAGAAGACAGAGGCTACTTACAAAACAGATTGTATACAAGGTTACATACAGAATGCCTCTGCTCCATCTGGGGAACTCTGCTTCATTATTTGCCTAATCAGTATCATTGTGTGTGTGGGGGGGTTCATTTCCCCTTTTCCCTCAGGATTTTGTGCTAGATGAATTCTGGAATTTAATTTCAGAGAATATTTGTCAATAGAATCTTACCTTTGCTATTTTGGAATGGTAGAGACACCATCAAGGTCTCGGGATTTGTAGCCTCATGATGACCCTTCTGCTTCTGGAATCCTTGGGGGTGTTGTTAGCACTACCAGAAAGCCACCTTCATCTAGCCCCCCCCCCACACACATGAGGTGATTGACAAGCAGTGACTGGGCAGGGCGAGGGGACCCAGGCCTGGCTGCCTCAGCCTCACACAGAACAGTGAGGACATTGTGGCAGTCGAGGACATTGTTAGGCCTGCACTGAACCCTGACTTCTTCATTCTCTTCTCCAAACAGTGCCCATAATAATTTGCCTCCACTCTGAACTCTACTTCTCAGGGATTGGAACCCACCATATCTTTAAAAGTGAGGACAACTTCTAAGCTGTCATGGCGAGGGACATGCACAGTCCTCATTGTTTGTGTTGAAATGCTATGTCTATATGGGTGAACTTTGGTCTCAACTCTAAAAATACTGCATTTGCTGTTCTATTTCATCAATGTGTGAGTACTATGACCAATATTTCAAACCCTAAGTAAACTTTCATGGATGGTCACATCACCATAAACTCGATGTAAATGAAGTCTGACTTAGACATAGACTTCCTGGGGTTGTGAATACAGTCAAGGTCTAGCTTTGAGCCTGTGGACAAATTCTCGCGCTGAGCTTCTGTTCGTTCATAGTCCAAGTGGAAATTTGAATTGAATCTACTTCATACAGTTTTTGTGAATCCAAATGGGATAAAATGTAAGCAGATGGCAGGAGGCATGGAATTAAGTAAACATGTCATCAAGTTACCTTTCTGATTCAATGCCTGGAGAAGATACTGTTGCCTGGAACTCAGCTAAAATGTGGAAGAAGGAAGCCATAAAACAACTATTTGGTATTACCCTATTTGTGTGACTACGTCCATCTATTATGTTTACATTCAGAGTAGGACATGGTATCTATACATGTCAAAGAAAAAGAGATATGAGGAAAGATGGCTAGAATTTACTGAGTACTTTTCATATAGTATGCACTGTTCCAAGCACTTTCTGCTTCAAGTGACTTAGCACTTAGAAAAACTACCTGTGGAAGAGGTTATTCTTCCTCCTGTTTTCAGAACAGGAAGCTCAAACATTGACTCTGTCATGGTAATGCAGCTCTACCCAAAGAAGAAAGGATAAGACAGAGCAGAGTAAGGGAGGAGGCTAAGGAAAAGAGGACAGGGGAGGAGAGAGAGGGAATCAGGGGACAGAAGGAGCATGGGAGGGAGAGTGGAAGGGAAGGAGGAAGGAAAGGAGAGGGGAACAGAGAGAGAAAGGATGGTAAAGATAGAGAGGAAATAGGAAAAATAAACCATAAATGCTAATAGAATGTCTTCTCATGAATGAGATTAGATGGAAAGTTTTCAACTATTTACCATATTTCCCAGTTTCTAAAGTGAACATTTACTACTTTTACATTAGACAAGTATGTATAAAAAACTTACTCAGTGAATGCTTTCACCAGGTCCGCATAAAAGTCTTTTTCTGTGACTGTGAAATAAATTTCATCTGTATCCTCTTTAGTTAGGATCAGCTGTTTCATCATAGTTATATCAAATCCTGACTCCTTAATGAGCTTCAAGATCTCCTCTAGGAACACAAAGATTCAGTCATCTTTCAGATCTTTCTACTTTTCTTTCACATTCAAGTCCATCAAAATAACAGAGGCAAATAATAGTTTTACTTGAGTGGTATAGCTTATGCCAAACTCACCAAATTGATACTTAGAACTATAGGATGTTAATAAAGTGGGCTATGAAAGAGTGGACAAGGAAGATTTCTAGCATGTTAATAACAAATCCACATTGTCATATCTATGTTCCAACTGCCCAAGAATTTCTTACAAGATCTGTATTGGAGGCTCATGGTGAACTTTCTGAAGATGCAAAGCCCCACGAAGGGAATTTAGTAAAGCAGATCTCAAAGTAGTTCCAGCAGCTTAGATGTTAGAGAACAACACTCTGGAGACAAAGGTAAATGAGCTGGTGCTGAGACCCTTCTAGTAAAAAAAGAAGGAACAGAAGGAAAGGAGAAAATGGAGGCGATGAGGAAGGAGGAAGTGAGGGAGGAAAGGAAGAAGGACAAGAAGGAGAAAAGGAGGGGGAAGTTTGATAAGACAGAAAATGTTCACATAGAACTCTAACATGAATTAAATAATTGGAACCTAAAAACACCATGAATCAAAATTTCAAGCTCAAAAGTATGCCAATAAGTAGATGTACAGTAAAAGTTGACTCTACTCAGAGAAGAAATTAAAGCAAAAGAAAATAATCTAAGCAACAGACTCAATAAAAAGGTGTTGATGGACATTATAACTTAAAACAATATAGAGCAATGGAGAATAAGAATGAAGTTAGCAAGAATAAGGAAAGGGAATAAAGAGAAATCCTAATTTAGAAAGCAATGGATATAAAGCTCAGGTAAATACAAGCGTATATACTTTTCTGTGTGTATGTATGTGTGTGTGAATGTGTGTATATATATATATATATATCACTTAATGTTATGTATTTATTTTAAATTTTTACTTCATATCAAAAAGAATAGTACATTTGAAATGTAAATTATTTTAGTACAGAGATCTCTTATTCTTTCTGGTGAAGTCCTTATGGAGAAAAGTAAAACAGCAGATCAGAACTGACATTTAGTGTTATCAGCCAAGAAATCCACACTGGAATGAAAAGAAAACAGCAATCTAGATGCTGAAAGGGTAAATATTTTCCTGAAGGGAAAAAAAAAAGAAACAAGAAGGGTTAGTTCTCATTTAGTAATTTTTGCTATTAGAAATACATGAGTAAAGCTACCAAACTTGAGAGATTACAAAAATTTATTCCAAGTCATGGAATTGAACCCTTACGAAGCTCATGCTCTACTATTGAGCTACCATCCAACATCAGTTTTTGTTACTAGAGGGAGACAGAGACAGAGCACAAGTAAATATCCAATGCAAATATACCAACTTGAACTGTTGGATGTAAATGACCGGGTATGGGTATTTTACCCAGTTATTCTTTTTGAAAAGTTATACCAAATTTTGGAGGACAATGTAGGATTTGCTTTTATTTTAATGTCTTTACCTCTTTGTTCATGTGATACGTGAGGCTTAATTATTGCTAGCGTGCTCGTGAGAGGAAAGAAGTGCTCTATTTCTCGTTCAGCAGTATCAGGGGAATTGCTTCCATATAACTGGTTGATGGGCAATTCTTCTGTTGCAAACTGTGCACACAAACTTTAAAAAAGAAATCCATCAATTAAAAAAAAGATTACCACACAACAAAGTAACCCTTTTGGGGAGGATGTGCATCTACTTTAAATCTTTGAATGTGGTTTTCTTCAATACATCCTGTTGTCTTTCTAGTTTCAGAGGCTCTTTACATTTCCCCCTTTGCTTTATTCTATTTGCCCCTACTACTCAGCCTTGGGCCTTTCTACACTTCTAATTTGGACATAACTTTCTCCCCACATCCCTAGGAACCAGGGGTTCCTCCCTAATTGTTAATTTAAAAAACCTCTATGTCATAACCATCACAGTCCCTTTTCAGGGAAGAGTTCTCCAGTATCCAGTCTGTTGGGCATTGACTGTGATGATTCCTGGGAAAGGTGGGTATAGGAGTGGGAGGTGGCTGAGGGAGAGGAGTAGCTGTGTTTCTCTTTAGGCAAGAGACCATATTTTAAGTAAATTAATGAAAAGTGAAAATATGGTAGCTAAGTGCAAGAGAGTGGCACTTGAAAGTGGTACCACAATCATAGCTATTCAGGAAGTTTAGATCTGAGGATCTCAGTTTCAAGCCAGCCTAAGAAACATGGAAGTCTGTGAGACTCTTATTTCCAGTTAACCACCAAAAAAGTGGAACTGTGGCTCAAATGGTACAGCACTAACTAGCTTTGAGCAAAAATCCTGATAGAGTTGAAGCCCCAGACTGGCAGGAAAAAGGAAAGGAAGAAAGAAAGGGAGGGAGGGAGGAAGGAAGAAAGGAAGGGAGGAAGGAAGGAAGGGAGGAAGGAAGGAAAGGAAGAAAGAAAGAAAGGGAGGGAGGAAGGAAGGAAGAAAGGAAGGGAGGAAGGGAGGAAAGAAAAAGGAAAGGAAAGAAGGAAGGCAGGATGGAAGGGAGGGAAGGAGGGGGGAGAAAGGAAGAAAGAATAAGGGAGAGAGGGAAGGAGGGAAAAGGAAGGAAGGAGAAAGAAAGAATAAAAGATAGGAAGAAAGAAAGGAAGTTAGTTTTTTTCTAAAGTAGGCAGTTAGAGCTGGGTAAGACCAAATAAATGAAAAGGAGAGAGCAGATAAAAATAATTGTGAGGAACTTGTGGAAATTTTACTGTAATGGTTGGAAAGGAAGCAATCTCTGAGTGCCTTTGGCTAAAGAAAATGACTCTGCTCTGGGAGTAACCTCTACATTTGGAATTAGATGCCCCTGTAGGCCCTGTCTTGATAGCAATTCTACTCTCTGGTGTTATACCCTTCATCTTACACATTTTATTAAAAGGTTTGATTACATTCTTCCCACCCCCCCTTCATTCATTTACTCCTCTCCACTTAACCCCACCCTCTTGCAAGTACCCATTTCCTGGTGCTGGTTTTGTTGGGCTTTGACTTAGACTTTCAAATAATTATGCCATTTGATCTCCTCATAGAGTCTATTATACTTCATTTAATTAATTTGTAACCACTTATACACCATACAATGTGTTTATAGATTTATAGGTACATTCTATCTACCATAAATGAGGGAAACCATGCATCTCATTTAAAAAAAAGAGGTTTTGTGGCACTCTGCTCATACATTTGAAGAGCATCAACCTGTGTTATCCTTTACAAGAACTATCTGGCAAAAGCACAAAGAAGAAAGTGAGTAGGGGTGAATAGGAGGTGAATTGTACCATGGAAAACAAGTGCAATTCAAGTATATCCTACAACCTAAAAGATAGCACTGCAGGTTCTACATAAATGGTGTTTTGAAGGCACCATTATTTCATTGTGTGGATAATGAAGATCAAGTTTGCTCTGCCTTGTGGAGGATCTTCATTCTTTTACATTGGCAAGAAGGGCCTTTTCCCTCCAGAATTGAGTCCTATTTTGAAGTTGGCATAAAACATTTCAAGCAAACTGCAATTCTGCATGCTTCATTCAGTGACATGTCAAGCATAGAGAGGCTAGAGACAATCCCCATCCTTTAGATGTTACTGAGCCCAAAAGTTAAGATAAATATACTGAGAGAACAACCTCTCTGCACAACAAACTATGCCTCCTATGTAATTCATGTCAAACTTTAGTTGACTTCTAAGATTAATCAGTAAATCAACTCAGTAAATGTTATCACAGACTTCTAGAGTACATATCCAGTTAATCACAATCTCAAACCTTTTATGATAAACTAAAGGACCTGCCCTATGATTGAGGGAGAGTTAGGCCTTGATCTGACATATAGGGATATACAATTTGGTGGACCTATCATGTGACAGATAACATGTGACCCCTGATGGCCCTTCTTCCCACAAGGCTCTGGGTTCCCACTCCAACACATCTTCTGTTCACAATGCCTTGGGTTCCTGCTCAACCAATAAAAAGAGCTGGGCTGGTACACACACAAGCCACCAAACCATCGGCACAAAGTCCTTTAACAGTAACATGGGAGCCCTGGTAACAGTGGCCCTCTGAAGGATCTCCATTGGCTCTCTGCTCTGGAACCCCTCTTTACAGAGTCCATATTCTACTTCTGCTTTCAAATAAAGCTGCTCTATCTGCTTAAACATTCTCCTACCTTTTTAAGTTTTTAAATGACAAAGGAACAAACCTGAACCCCTGGATGTCATCACAATCAAAGAGTCTTTCTGAAAAGATTTTCTCTCTAAATAGTGAGGAGGATGAATATTTTTCACAAGAGGAGGCCTGTTGGCTGGCCTTCACTTTCTAGTATTCATCATGCAACTTTCTCATGCTAAACCATGGGCGTTTCCCGCTGCTGCCATAAGCACTTCACTTAGGAAAAGCAGTTTTCCCAAGAAGTTCCTTCATAATGCAGATGTGTTTCCTGTGCCTCATACCTACACATAAATTAAGAGTTCATCCCAGGACAAACTAGGAATCCACAGTGGGGATCCTACCTCTCTAGGGCATATTCACTGACATCATCAACAGATTTTGGTCCCAGTAACTGTTTCCAGTATTCTAAGCCATTTTCTCTCAATAAAACAAGGATAAGAGAAGGACCACTGTTTAAAAAGGAAAAAAAAAACATGTTAACAAAAGTACAGTTCAGAAGCTAATGACATGTAGATAATACAAATTCATATTGGTAAATTGACTAAAATCATATAAAAATACACGAAGGGGTCTGCAATTAATTTGATTCAGTATCCTTTCAAGGGCATATATGTAAGAGGTTGGAAGCAGAGAAGGAAGGGAAGAGCAGGATTTAGCTGTAAGAGTAGTTCCTATGTTCCCACTGCTGTTTGTGCCCTTACTGGATTTCTCCTTCAGCTGCCATTCAATTACTCATCCAGAACCCCAACAATTTCTAGATCCCATTTGTGTCCTAGAACTAAGTAGGGATCTGGAAGATAACCAAATCAAATACTAAAAGTCAAGTCAGGCCAACCAAAGAATAGTCAGTTCTCTGCTTGGACTTGGTGATAGCTTACACACTATTTCTGATGTTCAATTAGACAATTACAACATTCCCTGAGACTTTTGCAGTAATGTTCCAGGAAGACTAAAGAAGACAGACAGTGAGCAGAAAATCCGAAGGGAGGCAGGACTGACAAAGAAGCAGACTTTAAGAACCAACTTCAAAGCTGGGCACCAGTAGCTCACCCCTGTAATCCTAGCTACACAGGAGGCTGAGAGATGAGGACTGAAGTTTGAAGCCAGCCTGGATAGAAAAGTCCCCATGAGACAGTTATCTCCAATTAACTACTCAAAAACTGGAAGTGGTATAGTTGCTTAAAGTGGTAGAGCACTAGCCTTGAGCAAAAGAGCACAGGGACAAAGCCCAGGCCCTGAGTTCAAGCACCACAACTGACTATTAAAAAAAAAAAGAACCTGCTTCAGAGTCTGCCAACAAATAAAAATTACATTTGGGCCAGGCAATAGTGTTTCATGCCTGTAATCTTAGGTACTCTGTAGGCTGAGATCTGAGGATCCGGGTTAGAAGCCAGTCTGGGCAGGAAATACCATGAGACTCTTACCTCCAATTAAGTACCAAAAATGCTGAAAGAGCTGTGGCTCAAGTAGTAGAGCACTAGCCTTGAGCACAGAAGCTCAAGAACAGCATCTATGCCTTGATTTCAAGCCCCTACACCAGCAAAAAAAAACAAAAGTAGGTTTCAATGAGTTAAAAAATAACAAAAACCAGCCAGGCACAGTGGCTCATGCCTATAATCCTAGCTACTCAGGGGGTTGAGATCTGAGGATTTCAGTTCAAAGCCTTCCCAGGCAGGAAACTCTGTGAGACTCTTTTCTCCAATTAACCACCAGAAAACCAGTGACACTGTAACTCAGAATGGTAGAATACTAGTCTTGAACAAAAGAGCTCAGGAACAGTGGCCAGGTCCTGAGTTCATGCCTCAGAGTGACAAAAATAAACAAACCAACAAAAATCACAGAGCCTTCTAAACCTGAATTCCACTTTACCTGGTCATATATGGTATAAGTTTTTCGTAATAGTCTTCATTTTCATATTCCTCGCACAGTGCTTTGGCCTCTTCTTCTGATAAGACTAGTTCTCTTTGCATCAGTATTTTAAATCCTTCATTGTTAATTATATTCAAAACATCATCTAAATAAAACAATTACCACATAGTCAGTTTCAAACTGGTAGGTTACTGGCTATATAGACTATATGTAAGATACCAAAAGGATATCAAATAAATTTAATTTTCATATGAAATACCAAGTTTGCAAAAATAGTTTTCTAGTCAATGACAGTTCTTCAGATCTCAAATTACAATGTGGCTTCCAGTTTTTCACAGCATAGAAATCATATGCCCACAGACACAGAAGTATCTCAGGAAATGTTTTATTTTGAGGTGCAGGCACATTGTGTATATGTGTGTACATGTGTGTGTACAGAAACCTCCATATTTATCCAACTCAGATACAAAAATCTTCATAAATTATTTTAATATTCAACAGCCCTCATGTTATTTGAGGAAAAACAAGTAGGCTATATACTCAAAATTGTTTCTCATTCTTCTCTTTAGCCTCTTTCCACTATGGAAGCCTAGAAAATAGCACACTTGAACTGGGCCCTGTAACTCACACTTATTATCCTATCTATGATCTGAGGATCACAGTTCAAAGCCAGCCCAGGCAGGAAAGTCCTTGAGACTCTTAACCCCAATTAAGCACCAGAAAAATGGAAGTGGTACTGTGGCTCAAAGTGGTAGAGTGCTAGCCTTGAGCAAAAGAGCTCAGGGACAGTGCCTAGCTCCTGAGTTCAAGGCACATAACTGACAAAGGAAAAAGAAAAAAAAAGGAAAGGGAAGAGGTCTGTCTGTCCTTATGGATGGTAGAGCAATGTGATTCAGACAAGGTCAGTAACATGTGTGACAAAATCTGTTGGGATGCTTCTGAGAGAGACCTCTCTGCCCTATACTATCTCTGCCTGTGAATATGGAGGATAAAGAAGGATAGATATTCACTAAGAACCCAGACAACATTATGCCTGCTTGACACTTCTTTTGTCATCCCCTAATTCAGAGTCTGCAAGCTCAGGAATGAGCAATCTATCCATTCGACCAGTAAGTCTAGTTTCCTTAGCAACATGCAATTTACCTTCTTTGAATATTTCTCCTAAGCGTTGATCACATGACACAGCTCCCATCCCTTAAGCAAGAAAGAGTTTCCTAGCTCCAAATCTAAGTAGATCAGAGGTTACAAAATCCTCTTTGGTGTAGCTATTTCCAAAGTAACTCCGTTACAACTCTAACCCAGAGTTCAACAAGTCAGAGAATAAATGGTCCACAGATAATTATCAACTGTGTTTCTGAATACCAGCAATAAATTCCTACTATTTCCTAGTATTTGCTTAAGGAATTTTCCCTGCTGTATGAATTTGAGTGAAGGTAAAAATAAGTAGTGTTTAGGACTGAGTGTGCAACTCTGTGGTAGAGCTTTTGCCAAGCATGTAGGAAGCACTGGTTTGCATCTCCAGCACTGACAACAAGCAAAAAAAAAAAAAAAAAACAAGGAGAAAACTCAAAAACCAGTTTTTAAAGGGCCAGACACTTTAATCTTGTGAGATTTACAAATTCAGAAACAGTCAAATACCTTATATAATTTACACTTAATTACAGTTGCCATAATTACAGTATCCAACCTCTATATATAGTCATTCTGTAATGGTAAAAAAAAAGAATAACTGTAACAAATTCACAGGTTAGGGAATGCTTGGTAAATATGTGTGACATGTTTTTGCCTATAGTGTCTTTTTGTTACAACTGATAAATTAGTAATTTGATATCAAAATTCAATTTGCCAAAGTACTTAATTTTATCATTTAATTTCCTACCTTTTCTTTCATGGAGAAGATCAGGCTTCAGTAATGCCAATGTTCTTTGTAACTTGATGGCTTGCATTTCTCTAATATTGGGGAAGAAGGTGTCCAGGAACTTAGTGACGTTACCAGGAATATTTTCAGTCTCACAAAACTGAGATATATGCTGCTGTTCCAAATATTCTCGCAGGCTGTTAAAATCCAAACATATAACTTAAGGTAGTCATAAAAGCTTCATATCCGTGTGTGGGGGGGGAAGGGGGTGAGGGGGAGGGGGGAAGGAGAAGGATTGGGATGGGGGGGAGGGGGGAGGCTGGGAAGGGATGGGAAGGGTAAACAAAGGAGGAGGCTGCAATGATTGTTAAGAAATGTACGCATTATCCTGCCCATGCAATTGTAACCCCTCTGTACAGTTTGTTCACAAATAAAATAAAATAAAATTTTTTAAAAAAAGCTTCATATCCATGGCAATACAGTAACTGATTACACACTCAGAAATAATGTGGAGTTTAGTGCTTAAATGAAGAAAAGCTGCATTTCACAAGATGGTATATTATATCAAATGCAAGAATAGAATAGTGAATCTACCTTCCTATGGAATCAGTGCACAATGAATTAACTAACTCAATCTATGCCAGAGTCATGAGAGATTAAACAAAGATGAAGATAAAATGTTATGTTTTAAAGACATTTCGTCGGTGAAGACATTTCAGATAGCTTTTCTATTTCTATTTTTCTTCAAACCAAAGATTACTTAGAAATAAGAATCATTTTCAAACGGCTATTTGGGCACCTCTTTTTTGTGAATTTCCAGTTTTATAGGATTATGAGCAGCAAATATGTACCTAATTTTAAAAGATCTTGTTAGAGTTTTCTTTATAAACAGAGAAAATTTATGTGAGATAATGTTGTATTTTTACATTGCATATATTATAGATGACCTATTAAATATAGAATATTAGCTTTCCTGTTATTAGTTATTTTGGCCTACTAACAGATATTTTCATCGAGTTATCCAATTTTTTTCTAAGAATTATTTCTAATGTACTTGGTTGTGAGGTTAGTCATAGTGTGTGTGTGTGTGTGTGTGTGTGTGTGTGTGTGTGTGTGTGTGTGTGTTTCCTGGGGCTTGCACTCTGCCTGAGCACTGTCTCTGAACTTTTTTTGCTCAAGGCTAGTACTCTATTTCTTAAGCTCCACTTCTGGCTTTTTTGGTGGTTAATTATAGTTAAAAATCTCATGGACTTTCCTATCCAGACTGACTTTGAACTGTGATCCTCAGATCTCAGACCCTTGAGGAGCTAGGATTACAGGCGTGAGCCACCAGAGCCCTGCATGATGTCAGTTTTTATCACTGCTGGTGACTCAACCACACTAGTAATATACACTACTTTTTTTAAGGCAAATCTATCATATTTCCTCCTGGTTTGTCCCAGTTCAGGTTGGACCAGGATTCGTTGAACCTACAGTCATCTATGGAGCTACACTCACAGGTGCATGCCACCGCACCCAGCTTACTGCTTAGATGGGGTCATGCTAACCACTTTTTTCAGCCTGTCCCTGAACCATGATCCTCCCAATTTCTGCCTATCCAATAATTGTGACTGAATGCATGAGTCATGTGTCCAAACTCATGTAATGCTTTTAAGGCACAAGGAAAGTGGAAGGCTGATGTGAAGAGGTGGCTAGGAGACCGTGTTGGGAGGGGTAATGCATGGCTCGAGCCAATCTATGCCTTAGGACCAAGGCCATGGGACTGAATGATTGGGTCTCATTTTCACAATGAGAAGCAGAAAAAACTCTTTCCTTCCTAATGTTCTTGTGGGCAACCACAGCTTTTCTGAAGATAAAACTTTAGATGGACTGGAAGAAACACTTGGTGTTTTAACACAGAAACCTTTGTGTTTCAGTTGTGAGATGGATGTGGGCCACACACTTCCTCACTTCCTTCCACACTGTAAATGATACGGGAATTCCTGGGGGGAACTACCTGTCCCGTTTCTGCTTTATCATTTCAGGTGTGGGCTGAGCTTCACTCTCATTCTGAGAATCAGATGATTCTTTAGCTTCTATCGTAGTCTGAGATGTAATCTCCTCCAAAGAATACTTATCTTCTGTTCCCACAGAAACAACTAGAATATAGCTGAGGCCAGACGTCATAAGGGACAAAAATTCTTCAAAGTCAGGCTGCAAAATAGAAGGACAAACTGCTTTCTTCAGACTCTTGATTTCAGTGGACTACAATGGCAGCTACAGTGAAAGGCCTGTGAGATCTCTGCCTCACCGTCATGGGCAAGAGGATGTTATCCTTAAACCATGGCCTGCTTTGAAAAGACTTTGAGGGATCCAGGCTCACAGCTCACAGGCACTGGGACTTCAGTCTGTCAATCACTTTTCTAGCATTGGGAGGCTTACATCTGCAGGGAATGCTAGCATACAACTTTCTGAGCTCCAGCCAGTATCTATGAATACCTGCAACTGAACTTGTTTCAGAGCCCATGTGCTCAAGGCTGGCCACTAGCCTCTGGTGTTACTTAGGAGGCAGAAGGAAGTGAGGTCATGGGGACCCGCCCTTCTGGCTTCTCCACTCTGTTGTTTCTTCTGCTTCCTGACCATCACAAGCTCAACAGCTTTGTCATGATTTCTGCCTCCACATAGGCTCAAGAGAGGTGGCAAAGTGACCATGGATGGCAATCCATAAAACCTTGAAAAAAAATGATCCTATTGTCCTTTTATATAGACTTTGGACAGGTGTTTTGTCACAGCCACAGAAGATGATGAAGGTGGTCGTTTCTGGCTCCAGTCTGTGAGCTGGGTTTTCTCAAGAGATCACAGCTGGTGCTGTGCAATGGGTCTAACTTTTTGTGTGCTACATATGGAAACTGGAGGCAGAAAACATTGCTTGAGGAGGCTGGCCAGCTCTATCTGCACACTGCTGTCCAGTAGGACTTTCTGTCATGAAAATCCTCCCCCGACACTCTGCAAGCCCACAGCCACAGGCGGCTACTGGACACTTGGAATGGGAGAGAGAGTATTTAGCATTATTGGACTTGAGCAGATTTAGTGTTCATAACCCTACCTGAAAGGACTTGGGTAAAGAATGGGTGGAAGCATTCCTGGGTCATTGACCAGAGAGCCTTTAGTCCAGGGCACAAGAGTATAGGAAATGACTGACTCCTCACTTGCAGTGGACAAGAGGTCTTCCACCAAACACCATTTCACACATTCAATATGGTCAGGGTGTTTCTAATGGAGATCTCCCCAGAGCTGCCATCTTCTCAACACCGTAACATGGACAGGTTCAGAAACACCTGAGGCTCCCTTCCTTGGCCATACTGCTTTGCTTTTCTGTCTTAAAGATGGAAGGCTCCTAAGAATCCCTGGCTGTTTCTGAATACACAACAGCTCATTTCAAAGCCCTCTTACCTCCTCTGCCATTTGACTGAAGAAATTCTTTACTTCTTCCTCAGTGAACATCTTTTTCTCCTCTGCTTCAATGACATATCCTGCACTGATAAGCTTCATTTATAGAGTCAAGACGGATATAGATGTGATATGAGATTACATGGAACACAAGTAAAGGCTGATTATGTACAGACATTAATAAATCACCCAGGTTTACATGCATATCATTCAAAGACCCCATCAAATCCATGGGGAACCTAAACCTGATGGTACACACCTATACTCCAGGCTGTTTGGGAGGCAGAGGTAGGAGCCTTGCTGTTTATATGTTCCTCATTCTTAGAATCATTCTTTTGAATGGCATTTCATCCAATTTGACATCATGAAAAATCAGTTGCTATGAAATTAGTAACTTTATAGGAGTCCTGTTGCCTTGCTCTTTGCTAATGATGTGCATGTGTGTGTGTTTTTCTGCATTGCCATTTGCACATCCAGGACCAAGTCTTTGGCTGAAAATCTAGATCTCATCTATTCTTTCTGTTGAAGAATTTGCCCACGTTTTGGGAAGAACTATGTTGCAGCAAGTCTAAAGGGCAGTTTCTCCAATCAGGTCTGAGGTTTTAGATCAGAACACCCAACTCGTGTGCTCAAGACACTGGGCCTGATCTTCAGCATTAAGAAAGAGGAAAATGAACTGAAGCAGCAGTTCCGCAACTGATAGACAATGCAGCCATGTAAATAATAACAGTAGACCCCCCAGTAAAAGCAATTATACCATAATATCAATCAGAGTAGATGAAAAAAAAGAGCTAAGAAAATATGCCATGAACTAGGAAGATACTAGTTATGAAGAATAGGAATAAAATTAATTAGAAAAAATAGTAGATAATAATAGAAAAGAAAGGAAAACAGGAGAAGGTGGAGGAGTAAGTAGGTAGAAAGCAGGGTAAGAAAGAAGAAGAGAAATAATAGAGATGATCCAGCTAAAGCTAAAATAAGGAAGTAATCTGATATACAACAATAACAAAATCAAGATAAAGAAATTTTTTTGGTCGGTTGTGGAGCTTGAACTCTGGGCCTGGGCACTATCCCTTAACTCTTCAGCTCAAGGTGAGTGCTCTACCACTTGAGCCACAACACCACTTCCAGTTTTCTGGTGGTTTATTGGAGATAAGAGTCTTACAGACTTTCCAGCCCAGGCTGGCTTTGAACCATAATCCTCAGATCTCAGCCTCCTGATTAGCTAGGATTACAGGCGTGAGTCACTGGCGCCCAGCAAGATGAATTTTATTTTATTTTTTAAGGGGGGAGGATCTGGTCATGGGGCCTAAACTCTGAGCCTGGGCGCTGTCCCTCAGCTCTTCAGCTCAAGGCTAGCACTCTACCACTTGAGCTACAGTGCCGCTTTTGGCTTTTTTCTTTTTGCTTATGTGGTGCTGAGGAATCGAACCCAGGACCTCATGCATGCAAGGCAAGTGCTCTACCACTGAGCCACCTTCCCAGCTCCAGGATAAAGAATTTTAAAAGGATGAAAGAGGATAAAGAAGAAGAAATGAAAGCACAAGGCTCTCAGTTCAATTGCCAGTACTGACAGGAAGGAAGGAAGGAAGGAAAGAAAAAAGGAAGGAAGGAAGGGAGACAGACAAAAGATCATTATTTGTAGTCACATACCTACAGGTACAGGGCATAAAACAAGTCAACATGAGTTTATAATAAGATCATATTTCTAATTATTAAACAGAAATAACATTTGTTACAATCCAATAGACTAAAATTTTTAGAACTTATGTAGGATGCTGTGTGAGTAACTTAATGAGAGGATAGAGAGCTCATTAGATTGGGGATTTGTAAAAACACAAAATGTTCAAAGCCTTTAGCAGTACCTAGTACATCACTTCATTTATTTTATTTTGTTCCAAACAGTAAGCTTGGCTCTCAATAACAGTAAAGTTATTGTTCTTTCTCAACTAACTTAAACTATTGTAAGTAAATGTGACTTACTTTTTTTTTAATTTGTGGAGTTTTTCTGCTATTCACAGCATCAGGTTTGATCACAACAATACTGTATATTTCCCCTAGGGAGGAAACAATAGAATTTCACTGTCTTGGCTCAAAATCAAGATAATGGTGACTAGAAATGTCAATTTTCTAATGACTGGTGAATATTTGACTGCTGATAGCTTTGTGTCTTCTATGGCAGAAAGCAGGCTTCTATATGTACCCACCTGGGAAACCACCACCAAGTCTTTAAGGAGAACACATAGTTCAGAGGTGTGGTTTTGATATAATTCATGTGTATAGCAATTAGCATTCATGGTTCATATAGATCAGAATGACCAGGGACAGAAACTTCAACCATACACTCTACAAGATTCAACTGACAAAGTTGCCATCTGTGAATTCTTCTGTATCTATAAGACACACTTCATGCCAAATAGCTGGCTGAGTATGGCTATTTGTCTCTGGTGTCCTTGAGAATGAACGCACATCCCTAGACACACAAACAGAAACCCAGACACAGAGAATGCAGTGAGGGCATAAAACTGTTAACTGTCATCAGAAAGGAAATGTACATGGTTTTGGAAGTGGATGAAGGATGAACTGGAAATCTGCTGTCCAGATTAGCTGTAAGAGTCAGGAGGTCGTGGTCTTTGATAAGCTTTGAGAAAATTCCAGAACCAGAGACTAAAGCTATAACAGGAGGGGAACAAAGAAGGGTGACTTTTCAGAGCTGAGACATGTAAAGAATGAAATATTTATCTGAATAGTCAAGGTGTGCAGTAATGAACTTCATTGTATGGGAAAGCCTAGCCATTGCTGTAAAGATACTTACCAAGATTTTCATAGTTTGATCCCTTAACATCCTTTCCTAATGTGTCTGAGAGTGGAACTTCACTATACTGTGAAAGAGAAATGCAAATAAAAATCTAAATGCACATGAATATATTAATGACAGTATATTTAGAAAATGTGTTTCTAGTAAATACTCATAGCTCAAAAAATACTTGGCAGAGTAGAAATGTGTCTTTGGTCTACAAAACCAAAATACTTCCAAGAAGTATATAACATTCAAACACACACTGTGTTATCAAGGGGTGAGGTGTGAATGGTTTCCCAAAGGCGTGTGTAAAAATCGAGGTTCAGGGCACAGCCCTAGTTCTAGGAAGAGGTCATGAGACTTTTAAGAAGTGAAACCCAGTTGGAGGAAATTATGTCATTAGACTGGGAGAGAAGGAGAGGGGACATGTGCGGAGGTGGGTGTGGGGAGGGCAGGCTTGGACAGTGATCTTCTCCACTCTTTTACCCTTCCTAGCTCCCATGAGGTGACGAGCTTAGTTTACAATAAGACACCTACCGTCATGTTCTGCTCACCACAGCCCTAAAGCACCATGGCCAAGAGCCTGTGGTTATGAAGCCATAGCCCAAACACATCTTTCCTAAAGTTAGTTTCTCACAGTGATAAAGAGCTGACTAACAGGTGTAGGAAATATGCTTTAGGAAAGCAACACTCATACAATTAAAAAATTAAAGCATGCAACAACAGACAGCATTCTATTACCTGAGGACGGGCCAGTTCACCATCCAATATTTTCCTTTCTTCATTGATCAGACTAATGACTTTTTTATTAACAAGGGGTGCATTTGCACCCTGCACTTTTGCAATGATTTTGCCATTCTACAGGAGAGAGGAAAGTGTGAATAAGTCAAGGATTCACACTGAATCTGGACCATTCAACTCTTACTGCTTCTTATTTTCATGCATCCTCTGTTGGGTACTGGGATCAGGATATTAAAGTGATAATGGTGTGAAAGTTTGTAAACCCAACTCTTGCGTTTCTACTTCTAGTATGTCTGTTTTCCTTCAACTGAAGGTGTGGTGGCATCCCCTAGCATCTCAATAGAAGAACAGTCACGTGATTCACCTTAGTCACCCCTGCTTTAAGTCTGGGGACCCAGTCACCACTGAACTGTATTTCAGCAGCACAAAATGACAAACAACTTTAAAACATGGCCATTTTGTTTATCACAGAGCAGGTAACTTCCCACATTATCAATGTCAATTTGTGGGGAATAAGCAGACAAAAACCAGATTGAATGAGTTGAGGGGTTAAGAATGGAAATAAATAGAATACAAACACTGAAATCCTGGGGCAATGTAGCTATGAATTGGTAGTGACTGGTGGCACCTGTACACAAGCATGCTATCATGATGTACAGAAGGACCAGTATTTTTTAAAACTGAATAATATCCAAGAGGCAAAGAGAAGAATTCAGGTAAGAAAGTATTAAGTAAAGCTGAAAAATTCTGATTTCCATTTGTCATTGAAAGTAATCTTTCACAAATTCCTTTGAAGGCAAAATGTTAACCTCTTCCTGCTGAAGCTTGCTAGAATGAATTTTTTGTCTACTAAGAACCATGACCAATGAAAAGGAGCTGCTGTGGGGTACTGAAATAAAGACCAAGCTGGCTCAACGTCGGGAAGATGGCACAGGTGCCGTCGGGAGAGATAGTCACGGGGAGGGGTCCAGACGATGTAGAGAGGAAAGATGGGGAAGCGCAGCTCATAACATCCAAGGTACATAGGTGCAAATGGAACCGGGTAACTGTAGGGTTGGAAGAGATGGTGAGGTTAAGAATGGAGTGACATTGATCAAGAATGCATAGTACCCATAAATGGACATTATACAACTACTTAAAGATGATGGAGAAAAAAGAGACAACATAGTCCTTATTACATTTCTCCGAATATTGAAAGCTGTATTTTCATCTCAGAATATGGGAGTATAAAGAAGAAAAATTATTATGCTTCTTTCACCCAGACATATAAAACTTCTAAAGCATCTTGGTGAATGCACTTCAGGTATCATTTCTGTGCATTTGTAAACAGCAAGAGAAAACTGACGTGTGTTATAAAATAGTGATCATATGCATACTTTCTTGTGTGGGTATACATGAATATTTATCATCAATTCTCTCCCACAAGGCATCTGAGAAGTGTCCAGATAAATATTTAATCATACAATCTTTAGTGAGTCTTTAAACATAAGCACAATCTTATTTTTCCTTCTTCTTACCATTTCAGTGTATGAGGGTGTATGTTCTGCTACCCATTATATGTTCCCATAGTTCAAATTACAAAACAGATTCATAGGAATTCAGAGATAAAGCAAGCAATATTCAGTTGTGATCATCAGAAAACAATTCCACAGGACAGTCACAATGCCTTTTTTTTTACTACAAACTGCAATCTGTTGGTAACATAAAACAACAAAGACTTACCAGACTAAAGAGAAAGAGAGGCTCACATTTTTCTCTGAATGACTGCAGAGTTACAATGTTGTCAGCTTCTGCCTGCAGAAATCAACATGTCAATCATATTCTATAATATGAAGGAAACGATGCTCAAGACATTTGTTACACTAAATCAAACATAGCAGAAATAGAGACAATATATTTACATTTGCAGCAGTAGTTTCTGGGTATGTACTGCTTATAATCAGGATCAAATAGCATGTACTGGAAATTCCAGTCCTGCCTGGGTTTCTGTCACCTTCCCTTTCTTACACTAGCCCCACCCCTTATGGTCCCCAGCCTCAGCCACACTCATCTATTTGTCTTTCTGTTTTTCATTGCCTGGCTCTGCCATTCCTGTTCCAACCCAGCCTGAGTTCCTTCCTCCCAGAGGGCTCTCCTTCCCTCCTGCACAGTGCTCTTGTGCAGGGCTCCCAGGACACCTGTTGTTTCTTTCGATGCCCTGCTAGGGGCATGTCAGCCTGTCTCATCTGCTTGGTTAGGAGAACAGCCCAGGGTACAGATGGAGTGTGTTCCGCTCCCTCTCTCCTGTCTCAGTCCTTCCTAGGCCTCAGTCTCAGCATAAATACCAAATGGAGCTCACAAACGCTTCTTGTAAGAGTTAGTTGGCAAGTCTTGAAGTTTTAGATGCTTTCTTTTTCACGTTTGGAATTTTCTGAAAATTTTCTGACAGATTTCAAGTGGTCCCAATTTTATGTCAAATAACCATTTGTAATTACCATTGACAACAAATAACCATTGACACTGCTATTTAGCAGTGCTGTCAGCCATGTTAACAGCATTGCTGGTGCAGACAGGGGTCTTATGTAAGTGTGAGCATAGTTCCTTCCAGCTGCTATAATAACCAGTCATAGCGAGGAACATTTCTCAGTTTTAGAGGTTGAAGTCAGAAGAGTTCAGCATGCTGGCATGGTCAGCATCCCAGTGAACACTTTCTTCCTGGTAAACCCTTGCTTGGAAGAAATATCAAAATAACTCTTTTCATTGTCTTATGTTTTGGTGTTTGTCCTAGGGCTTAAACTCTGATCCTGATTGCTCAAGGCTAGTGCTCTACCACTTGAGTCGCAGCTCTATTTTTGGTTTCTGGGTTGTTAATTGGAGATAAAGATTTCAGGGACCTTATTGCCAAGGGGGCTCTGAACCTCCATTCTCAGATCTCAGCCTCCTAACTGGCTAGGATGACAGACTTGAGCACAGGTGTTTGGCTAAGCTTCACTTTTGATAAGGGCTTTGGCTGATTGCCTTCCAAAGGCTCCAAACACCAACTCAGTGGGGTCAGGGTTTTGCCTGTGAAAATAGAGTCTGGTTCTGTCACCTAAGCTCACCACTATCCAAGCAGGGTTTCTGCAGCCCGGGCTGGTGAAGGAAATCCACGCAAGGTTCCCTCATACCCTGGTCAGCAACAGGGGTGTGTGTGAACTCCTTTCTAAGCTTCGCTCTAGAAAATTTTCTTGGAAACTAGAATTTTGCATGCTTTCAAAAGAACAAAGAAGGAGGCTGGAAGGGACGAGTCTACAATACCAAAGTATAAGAGGTAGACATTGTATTGACAAGTGGGCTGTGCATCATCATTACGATGTTAGGGATTGAATAATATAGTGTGATAAGCAATATGTATTAATTTTTGCATATATTCTTTATGCTATGCCATATACATCCAGTTAATATATTTATATATTTGTGTTCATATATACAGATCACATATGTAGCAAGCATTCCTAATTTATGGGGTCTGGATCCACAGTTCAGCCCAATGAAGTGTAGAAAATACCAGAGAAATGTTTACTCCTATTCTGAACATGTACAGTTTTCTTTGACAGTCTTTTCTTGTAAAGGCAACATACTAACTGCTGACATTGTACTGCATTCAGTTAGGCATAACCAGGAATGTAGACATGATTCCACATACAGGCTATTTGCAAACCTTACCTCATTTTACACTAGGAAAATCAGCCTTCAATCCACCCAGGACTGCAAGGATCCACTGTAGCTATATTTATTGTTTGCTGCTATTCTTTCCAAATCTGGTATGGCAGAAAAATTTATAATGATTGTTGTTAACTGAGGATGGCATCTATGAGATAATCAATCATGCAGGTTTGAATTTAAATTGTTTCCAAAAGGGTTCCAATTGTTTGACTAACTGCAGAAAAAGAAATGCCCAGCAGAGGGAGCTCATTTTAGAGGTCTAGAGGTTTTAGGGTTTGTTGGTTGTGAGTGTATTCTTGTTTGAATGTAAATACAACAAAAGATGAAGTGTTCATTGACACTTCAACATAATAGTAAGTACAGTGCATAATAGTAAGCACAGTGGCTAACACTTCCCCATTGAGTGTGTGTGCACATCCAAGTGGACCTAGTTCTCATGGAGCTAGCTGAGCAGTGCTGTCTGGTCCAGCCTGAGTCAATGGCAAGAGGAGTTCAAAGACCTGTGTGATCTCATAGCATCTCCATCAGAGCTGCTGAGCAGGCAAACCAGAGCCTGGCAAGCCTTATCATTTAAGAGAAAGGAATTAAGAGGCAAGGAAAGAGATTTGACGTCATGCTTACAAAGATTCAGTCACTCAGTCCCTGATGGAACAGGTATGTGTGCATCACAAGCAGTGTCATTCAGATTCATAATATTAAATGTTTTTAGTTAAAGAAATATACAGTGAGCTTTTATTTCAGAAGATACTTCACTAAGGACAGACGACAACTTCACTGTGAGTAGCCAACTCTGAAAGGGAAAAATAGTAAGAAGGAGTTTCTAGGCATTGTTAACTTTAAGTGATCTCATTTATAAGTTTCTCAAAATTATCCATTGTACAAAAAGGTTTCAAGGCAGCATGACAATTTTTGAGTAAAATAAGTCAACGTCACTCCTTTATTTTCCCCATCTCTCACAACCCTACCCAGCCCCTTCCATTTCTGGAGCTCCATTTTCACACATGCACATTGAATATTCTGACTGCATGCACCTGCATTCACACCTCATCTACTTGTCCTGCCCCATCCCCTTGACTTCACCTCTTCCCTCCACAACACATGCTCCATCTTCCTGGTTTTTATTTTGTTTAAGCTCTAGGTTAATTGTTCAAAGGTGTTACTCCATGAAATCCTCCCCTGCATAGACCCTACTTTAGTTGCCATGTTTGTGTATTGTACATGTATATGACGCTATTTAGATTCATACCCATACATATTTATATGTATGTGTGCTTTGTCTTTCTGAGTCTGACTTATTTCACTTAACAGAATTTTTTTTTCAGGTCCAACACAATTTTAAATTAAAGAAACTGAAGAAGGTGCCTGCAGGAATGCATAGAAAGTCAAAGACAAGTTGCGGTCAATGAGCAAACTCATTCCAAGACATACAGCAGGTGGGGCTGTGGAAGGCACCACCCAGGAGAGCTTCCAGTGGCTGATGGTCCTGATACACTAAGGCCTTTAGAGATAAGGAGTTAAGGGCATACAAGTCGGTTATCTGTTTCTGAACATCAGGCCTAGTTGATGTCATTATGCTTCTAACAGAAATATGTGAAATATATATGTTCCTATGTTCCTATATAGATCACATGTGTATATATAGTGAATGCATGTTTATACTATAACACACACATATACTTCAAAATTCTCTAGTAGCCAAATTTACAGAAAAGAAATAGATGAAAATAAGAATACATTTACCTTAACCTGATATGTCCAAATTATTATGACCTCAACATGTAATTGATGTAAAAATTATGAATGGCATCTCTCACATTCCCTTCCTCATATTAATTATTTAAATTTAGTGTGCATTTTCTATTTATAACATATCTTAGTGACTTTTAATCACTTGTAATCAACTAGTACTGGGTCTCTAATAAAATGGATCCTCAACAAGTAGATATACTTCAAGAAAAATGGGTGGAACTGGAGATTGTGTTAAATAAATGTTCAGAGAGACAAATGTCACATGATTTCACTAATGTGCAAAAGCTAGACACCCCCCCCCCAAATATATGAAGAATATGCCATGATGTTTAAGGGAAATCTTTGGCAGTGGGAATCTAGCAGATGAGGAAATGGAGAAAGGAGAGGGCAGAGGGTAACAGAGTGAATGCTACACAAGTACATTACATACACATATATTAATGCAGATATCCATGTATACATACATTAAAATGGCATATTATTGATTCCCGATCTCATAGATCTAAATATATGGTAAAGCAGTCTAGTACTTCACACTGTCTATTGGAAGAACAGACAGGTTGTTTCAATGAAGATATTAGAGGATAGGTAGAAAACCCTCACCACAACAAAATGCAGGATATCATCTTCGTTCAGCTCATTTCTCAATTTCCTGAATAAAGGCTGCATAGCTTTGCAAGGGCCACACCAGGCTTGGTAAACGTCAATCACTAGAAGATTTAAGAAAGAACAGCCAAAGGATACCCTTGTTGGCATAGCCCCGGGACTGGATCAGGAGCCAAGACACAGAAGGAAGAGGAAAGGAGCTGGATCTGGCAGGGTTCCACGAGCATCCTAGGACAGACCCCAGGTGGCCACACTCCAGGGGATCCCCAGTACCTGTTAAACCTTTGTTCAGTAACATGTCATCCCATTGGCTCTGAGTGTTGATGACTGTCTGCAAGAAACCAATGCATTCTCAAAGCTCCTCCTGTACCTCTGTGCCAGATAAATCCTCCATGTGTGAAACTCACCTGGAGCTGGATTTCGCCTCGTTTTTTGCCTGCCATTGATGTACTTTTATGGGAATGAGGAAGAAAGCCGCAAGACCTAAGGAGGGAATTTATACAGTATTCTCTTTACCCACTAGAACCTCGGATCAAATGACTGCCGATGCCCACATACTGGAGCTGATGTCGCTCCTCTCCCTCCTCCTCCCCACAAGCCCAAAGCCAAGCGAAACAGGGTGGCTGTTGGGTTGGTTTTTAAATAGTCTGGTATGTTTTTCTGCTGTAATAAGGTTTTCTACATTGTTATTCACACAGAGATGAATCATCTACAAACATGGATATTAGTCCCTCTCCATATCTGCCCACTTCAAGGACAGTTATTTTTAGAGCGAAAGCAGAAGCATTCTCTTTTTCAATTCTCTATATGGAAGAAAACTGATCATCAAAAAATCGATGGACTGAAAATGGAGGGAAGTGGTGATCATCCAGTGAAAGCCACAGGTGCCCCCAAAGTGGATCGTGTTGTTTGTTACCAGGGGCCAAGGCGGTACCAGACACTAGGGTGGAACAAGGGACTGGCCGCAGACCAGCCTACATCCCGCCCCAGACCGCGGATGCCAGGGAATACCTGAGCCTGCAAGAGGCCAAGGACGTTAACGGGCTCCCGGCCGAGCTCTGGGGCCATTGGACAAAGGGCTGGTACCCGGGCAGCTGGGCAGGGCCAAGGTGGAAGGCTGGCCAGGCTCCCGCGGCAGGCGCTTTCTTCCCCTGCTGGTCCAGGGGACCAGGGATGGCATCTCTCCCCAACGTTTCCTGCGCGCACGTGAGCTCAGCTGGGGCCTGCAGGGGCCGTGCCCTCCAGGGCTCGAGGCCCCTGGCTCACATCGGGTAAGCCTGGGCAGTGACTCCTTTAGTCTCAGTCTCTTCTACAAGCAAGACTGGAAAGCTCAACTTCCCGTTTGCACAGTGTCAACCCTGCTCCCTCCCGTGGCTTGTCTCCTCTCAGCCCTGAGAAACACAGCCTGGAGTTCAGCACAGACTCCCTCCCCCCCCCCCCCCCCCATTCTTGGCTTTCAGCCTTCTTGAGTCTGGCCATGTTTTCACTAGGGTATAAAAAAAAAATAAGATAAAAGGCGGCCTGGGAAGGTGGCTCAGTGGTAGAGTGCTCACCTCACTGTGCGTGAGGCCCTGGGTTCGAGTCCTCAGCCCCACATAAGCAGAAAAAGCTGGAAGTGGCGCTGTGGCTCAAGTGGTAGAGCGCTAGCCTTGAGCTGAAGAGCTGAGGGACAGCACCCAGGCCCAGAGTTCAGGCCCCAC